GCTTGCAGGCTGCACCTTAGCATGTGATTGCCCGCACGACAGCGACGTTTGCGAGGCGGATGCGCTCGCAGGACTGGTTTTTGACGCCACAGCCCCAGAAGCACCTCGCTATCTGGCAGCAGCAGGCGGGCAAACCCAGAGGCATCACTCGACAGCATCTCGGGCGCTGCGGTTGGGGGTCGTCTCAAGCAGAGGAGTGGCCGTGAGCATCCCAGCTCGAGTTGGCCTATTCACCCAAGAGGGCGTTGTCACGTGCTTCCGCCGCCTCTTCCCAGGTACGTGGTTCCAAGACTTCAAGTTCCCGATGATCGAAGACCTCCTGAACCAAGCACCTTTCTGCGAGTTTCCACGCTGGAGGAACCAGCACGATCTCAAAGCGGACGGACCCATGGGACCACATTTGGCCAGCGCAGCTTTGAGGCAACGACAGCGCCATGCCGAAGGCCAGCAAGCAGGAGCTTTGAGTCACAAAGCCGCCCTACCTCCCCTTTTGAGTTTTGGGCTGGACCCGGACACCCATTTCCTGCGAGCTTGCCTTCGCAGCCAGGTACCAATACCGACCGAGCAAACGCCCCTCCTGGACGATGACCTTTGGTTTGTGGCCGAGCTCTACGCATCACGGCCCAAGGACCTACCACGCCTTCGCGAGCAGAGCCTCGGCATCTTGAGGGAGCTGAAGCAGCGATGGCACAGCGTGGGCGAGCACCTGAAAACATTTCAAACCTCAGCGATTCGAGCAGTCACCCGTTCCCGGGATATCGGACTGACGGCCCTCTTGGTGACTCTGACTTCCTGGGCGGACATCACGTACCCTCACGGTTTGGTAGCGGGACTACCAGCTGTGGGCACAGCCCCGCCCTACGGGGTCTTTCCGGAGCAGCCAGGTCGCTTCCTCACCATGGAGGACGTGCTTGACGACTGGGAGACCCACAACTACAAGACTATCGCCTCGCTCAAACCCGGCCGACATGATGCAGTGTTGCTCGAACAATCGCTGAACGATGCCGCCCAAGGTTTCTGCTCTACACCGTTGACCCACACGCAGCTCCTGCGGGAACTGCGAGGCGAACCATTCCGCCTGATTCCCAGGTGTGTGATCGTGCAATCGTCGGGCAAGAAGCGGATCATTGACAATGGAGATACAGGGGGACAGTCTGAGCGTTCCTCAGATTGGAACAAGTTGGTCTTGTGCTCGCCATTGCGGCCGGCGCAACATGTTGGAGCGGTAGCCTCGCTTCTGACGGACGACCAGTGGCAGACTCTGACGACTGACGACGCGTGGCTATCAGGAGGCGAAGACTGGCTCAACGCCTACCGTCATTCCCCAGTCGGGAGGAGAGTCGAGGCTGTATCGTCTGTTTTTGGCATGCCGAGCGGGAGGAACCCGCCTTTCAGGTGTATTCATCACTCCTCTTCGGCCTTCCGCTCGCAGTGACGTCGTTCAATCGGTATTCTCGCTTCATCGAGGCCCTGGGGCGACGGCTTACCTACAGTCTGGTGTCGCTCTATTTTGATGATGCTCACATCACGGACCTCCAGTCAGGATTCGGCTCCAGCCAACAAGCTTTCTGTCAGTTGAACTCCCTCCTAGGCACCCCGTTCGCCGAGGAGAAGAAACAGTCGATGCAGCCGACCGGAACCTTTCTGGGCCTTGATCACGACTTCACGAATCTAGGCCGCGGCTGCGTGACGTTTTGGGCCCGAGATCGATTGATTCAGAAGACAGCTGCGATGATTACCGAAGCTCAGGCACACAATAGTCTGCCCTCAGGCCAGGCATCCAAGCTCTACGGCATGCTCAATTTTCTCGAGCAGGGCATGTACGGAAGGTTGGGTTGCGCAGGCTTGGCAGCCATCAAAGCACGCCAGACGGAACGCAACCGTGACCTCACTCCAGAGCTTCAGCGCAACTTTGACGTGATTCACTCCATTCTTCGCCATCGACCCTGTCGTGAACTCCCCGTGAGGCCGTCCGAGTGTCTGCGGTTTGTTGTAGCTTCTGATGCAGCTTTGGAGGAACCAAAGCAGGGCACAGGAGGCTTTTTAATCGTATGGCACGACCCGGTGGGACCGGTTCGGGAAGCCTTCATCGCCAATATTCCTCGGGAAGTTTACCAGCTGTGGGAGCCTGGCGATAGGCAGATAGCCCAGTTGGAGATGGTGATGATCATTTATGCCCTCACGTATCGGGCGCAGGCCTTTCGGGGTCGCCGAGGCATTTGGCTGATCGATAACGTCGCTAGCCTCATGTGTCTGATCCGAGGCCGTTCCCAGTCACCCGATCTTGAGCGCATGTGCGGTTTGATTCACGTGATGTTGTATGCCTTGCGCACCTGGATGTATTGGGAATACATTCCTTCTAAGAGTAATTGGGCTGACGCCATTTCAAGACTAGGTTGGTCCGATCCGTGGTGGCGAACTAACGGATTCACCCCTTTTTCCGTCTCTTGCCCTTTCTGCCTCTGGCACCTTCCACTGCCAGCAGTGATCCGAGTTATGGAATTTCTCTAAGTGCGTTGGGAGAGTTTGAAGTGCATTGGGAGTGGTTTCCGGAGTGACCGGAAGGATACCACAAGGGTCTGATTGTGTCAGGCCTGCTGATGCAGGTAACCCAA